GCGAAGGCCGGGGCTGGGCTGGGGCTGGGGCTGGGCAAACAGAGTGGGGTGAGCCGTTAACGGCCTGTGGGAGGATAGTCCTGTAGATGAATGAACACCTGGATTAATGGGGTCAGTGAGCACCAAGCTGCTGAGAAAGGAGAATCCCAGCCAAGGCAGCCATTTTACATTTTACTTTTACTGCATGTCTCATGGACCGTTTTCCTCTGCTGGTTTTAGAGAGGGCAGCAGGAGGGTCCCACGGGGGTACAAGAGAGCGAAGAAAGGACATTTTGGACCTGTGTACTTTATATAGGACATGAGCAGTGGGGGTGCTAGTTATACAGTTATGATTTTATGAACCCTCAGCCATTTCAATGACACCACAGGTGTATGCTGATGTGCAAAAATCCTATAATTATAAAGAAAAGTATTGAATTTGTCAGGAAGTTAGCGCACCTGAATTGGCAAATTCATCTTTCTGATGTTCTATCATTGTGAAGAGATGTACTGTCTTCACATCCACATCTTGGGTGTCATTTGTTTGTGATTACTTAAAAGATTTGCACTTCAGTCTTTTGGGAGTTAGTTGCCACTAGGCAACCTTGACTCCTCTCTGAAAGTGATTTTCAATGAAAGCTAAACAGGGAGGGTGCTGGCCCTTTAAACTGAGCTCTGAGTGCTTGGCAGGCTAATAGATGCAGTATAAAAGGTGCTAGTGGATGGCAACCTGAAAAAATAGTCTTATCTGAAAAGGTCCGGGACAGTTATAAATGAAATAATCGCGCTGGGCACATTAATCCATGTTTATGCCCTAGGGGGAGACCTCTGCTCACCATTTGATCTGTGTGTGAGTGCATGCATACAGTATGTGTACGTGTGTGTGTGTGTATATGCATGTATCTGTGTATTCGCAAGTAACCAATGCCTTTCACTCATATCTTTCCCCTCCTTCAATCCTTTTCATTTACAGCTAACAGCAATTGTTTCATTATACTTTGACTTGCTTTTAACCAGAAACTCCAGCAGGGGATATGGCAAAGGGAAAGAGAGGGAGGAGTGAGAAATAGTTGACAAAGAGAGAGAGACAGATACAAAAACAGGGAGACAACCAAGAAAGATAGAGAGGGAGAGAATATTAAGACATTTAAGTCACAATATGCAATTTGGCATACCCACTGGACCACTGCAGTCTAAATGATGTACAGTTATTGCTAATATGGTTCTTGGAGTGCCATGCAACCCAAACTTGCAAGGGAGTGGGGGCCTATGGAGGACAGGAGAAAGACCGTCCTTATGTGTTGAATATGATTTGCATCACAAAAGGCTCGGTTACGGTTTCTTGGATCTTTTATGTTTGCAAAAAGAAACAATGATATAAAGGTGATTTCAGATCTTAAAACCAGTTCATCACTTCACACCTGCAACATACAAATCATGTTGTATTTTTCTTACAATTCACATTACACTTTATTTTTGTGTCATATTCTGGTCCCAGACAGCTGACACTAATGGCAATCTAAACTCTAATATGTTTTACAGAGCTACAACTCAGTGTTGCTTATTTCCCAATTCCCTATTTTCCATGTTTTTTGCTACCATTTAACACTCCTTTATCTCAAATGTAAATGCAAACAGTAATTTGTAGAACGTTACAATATTACCAGTCATCTATTTCCCCCTGTTTTACCAGTCTACCTTTTATTAATCAAGTAATACAATTGCTCAGGTGACTTCAGACTTCTACATAAGTACAAGGATTGTTTGACTGAGAATCTGTCCCATCCAAGAGAAAAGCAAGACATCTTCTGTACACTATAAGAATAACGAAGGCTTTTGCTTTTGTTTTCAAACAGACAAACAAATCCTTGCTATTAGGAAGCTTGAGAAAATGAGATGATTCTCATTTTACAGCATAACCTCCCGAACACAAAAATCCATATTTGTGAGAGAAAACAAACTAGTTTCAATGTATAGTCAAGACTGCCATCTACTGGACACAAATACATTGTACCAACCACAGAAGCACTGCTGCTGTGTGTAAGTTAATTGAAGGCTGGGCCTTGTCCCAAAATAGATAATTGGGTTTATTTGTCATTTACAAACAAATATAATTCATATAGGGACTTAAAGTGTCATAATGTGTCTATTCGAATCCATTCCAGTATTGATTGTGATCTCACTAGTGAATTGTATTTTTCAATCTAGTCTGGTATTACAATAGCACAAAATCTCTAAACCTTTCCAAGACTGTGATGCTATTTAAGTCCTAAAATTCTCATTGGGTACTAACTAGCATTGCACCCCCACAAATTAGTCAATACAGCAGATGAGGAGATATCCTGACTTGTATTTCCTACTATGAGACTTCAATAGACTTCAATCCTAAACCCCCGTTACTTAACTCAATTGTGTCCTTTAGACTTTGCTTGCCTGGAAAACATTAATATCTTTCAAATTCCAATCGACTTCCGTTAAAACAGTTCATAGTCTCCGAGCCCAAACCAAGATTACTAAAGTGATGCGACTGAAGCAATTTTCCAAGACTTGATAAATCTCCTGCAGAGTTAGAGAATACATCATCTGTGTACACAGATTGTATAATATTCCTATAACAAGTACATTTACTTTGACATGTAAAATTGGTGCAGTGGCACTTTAAGAAAGTCTGCTTTTGCTTTTCCTGTGAAACAACTAGCTCAGTTAGTATTTGTAAATAATCCAATAAGAATGGGCCGCCAAACCATACGCTACAAAGTTACACAACACTATCCGACACAATTATCAATACCTCCATGCTCAATATCTGGGTAATAGATAGATAGATGGATAAATGGATGAATTTAGGATCCTCCAACTAGAATATACCCTGAAATGTATTTCTGAAACTGTGATACAAATTAACACCAGCAATATGGCAATTAAATTCCATTGCATTAATTTAGGCCTCTATTAATGGGAACTCGGCATCTACCTGTAATAGTAAACACTGTTGTGTACTTGTACAAGGCAATACTGCCACCCAGTGATTACAAGGTGAAAACACATGATATAAAATGTACACTGTATTTGTAAAGGGTGGGTTGGGAATGATGAGAAGATTTTTTAATCACAATTCAAGGCAAGTAAGAGCAGACTTGGTCAACTTCCATTGGTTTAAATTTCAACAGTGGTCACACAGCTACTGCTGTATATTAGCAACTGCAACCCACAGTAGACTTACAACTGTACACCTGCCTGTATACAAATATATACAGCTTTAATTTGTACTACATTTCATGTAGTCTCTCTTGGAAGGCATTTATAGTGTTGCACTCCGTTGTTCACATGAAAAGTGATAAAAATAAGAGATAGAGAGAAGTTCCAACCCATTCTCTCCTCTGCACAGATGGCCAATCACAGCGTTAAGTGGGTGCGAATGTCAGATTGTCATTTTTTGGAAAGTTACAAAAGTAGTCGGACACAGCCTCACAAAGAACAACATCAGAGAGGTGAGGGGGGGTTAGGGTTTCGGAGATATTCGACCATCTGACAAGTGGTTCTGGTGAAGCATACTGGCATCTTGAAAACACCTAAACTGGGTTTCGGCACGCACAAGCAGAAATTCTATTTAAAGCTCCTTCTGAATATCTGAGCTCCTCACCCTGTATGACCTCAATACAAAGGAATACCTTTAGCTTCTACACACATCAACGTACATACATTTGTGCTCCACAAAACTCTTCTTTTACCAACCTCTGTCCTTAAATTAACATTTGAGCATCAACCTCTCATGGTGGTCTGGCATCACAATGCTAATCACCCTAATCTGTCAAGTCAATAGATGAGAGCACTGGCCTTTAAAGATTATCAAGTAGAAATAATACCACAAGGATTTAGCTTTGTGCTATAGTTTTCAAACCCACTTGTGGTTTTGGTATTTCCAATTGGTTCTCTTTGGCATTACCCTCAACATCTCCAGGAATCTTAGAGAAAGAGGGTGGTAATGCTCTTACAAATATTGACCATGGTGTGCACTGTGACAAAGGTCATGGAGTTGTGCCATCCATTATCAATTGACTGACAGAATAACAGAGTTGGTGGTGTGGAAGAGTTTGCAACATTTAGGCTGAGGATCAACTAAGGTGAAAATGGAGGAAAGGCACATAGGCAATGCTTGTGCATTCAAATATGTGCTATTCAAATCGCTCTCAGCTAAACTCGCAAACTCCACAAATTTACATATCTCTAAAGTACTGGAGCAAGCGTAATGTTGCTATGTAGCTCCTCTGTACCTGCATCTGGCAAACTGGGGTAAGAAAGAAACCTTTGTACTGCTTTGGGAGTTAAGACTCTGCCTCTTAATCATTCAGCCATGTACATTAACCCTGGTCCAATGCAATGTGACAGAGGCTCTTTGTGAATATGATTTTAATCTATAAATCAAGTCTTTAATGAGAAGAAGGTTTATTCATGCAAAGGAAGTCAATAAAAATGTGCATATATTTACACAAACTAACCCATGAAAAGCTTAAAAGGACTCAAAAGAGAAGTAGAAGCAGTGGGGAGCAACCAAAAGCAACTCTCTGGACATTTTCCAACTGGGTTGTGGCTCGCCAGCAGATCAAAGCTTGGATAATCCTAGGCCTGGATAGCCTGGCTACTCGCAAATTAACCTAATTGTGAAAGTAACAACCAATAGGGAGTCAGGTTTCACAAATGAGTGTGCCAGTGTGAGTTACAGTGAAGGAAGACAAGAGTGGAGGAGAAAAGAAAGACATGAGAGTGAGGGGAAGACATGGAAGAGATAGCGAAGGAGTCCGAGTGTGTACTGGAGAAGGTGAAGGAGGAGGGGAGGTTCGTGGTTGGTGCACTAGTATGTGACGTCAGCGGCTTGTTGGATTGAGGTGCTTTGTCCTGCTGATTTTAATCCCAACTCATTAAGGAACAGAGAGCGAGTGCCTGTGCAAGCCCTCTGGGGAAAGAGGGAAAGTGACGGGAGAAGAAACAAACTCTAAACATTCCACCAAGGGAGATAAGTGGAGCGAATTTACGGCTTGAGAGATAGAAGAGGGGAGAAATCAAGCATTTTATTTTTGCATTTCAGGTTCATGCCGGCTTTGCCTCATTACCCTTTCCCTTTTTTGTCCTAAACCTCTTTACTTGCAATCTTAACGTGTGGCCTGTTCAAGCATGCCCACCAACGGAATAAATAGGGCCCTAAAACTGCAGTTTGGTCTCGTCAACTATGAGAGCCGCTACCTGACGGCTGAGGCTTTCGGCTTCAAGGTGAACGCCTCAGGCGTCAGCATGAAGAAGAAGCAGATCTGGACCTTAGAGCAGGACGAGCAAGATGGCCAAGTAGTGTTCCTCCGCAGCCACCTGGGACGCTATCTAGCCTCTGACAAAGATGGAAAGATGACATGTGGGGCAGAGAAGCCTGACCCCGACTGCCGTTTCCTTATTGTGCCTCAATCTGATGGTCGCTGGGCACTGCAATCAGAGCCTTACCTGCGTTACTTTGGAGGCTCGGCTGACTACCTGTCCTGCTTTGCCCAAGCCATTGGGGAACAAGAGCTCTGGGCCGTCCATTTGGCTTTACACCCGCAGGCCAGCCTGCTCAGTGTGGCACGTAAGCGCTATGCCCATCTGTCCGCTTCAGATGGAGAGATCTCGGTGGATAGCAACATTCCCTGGGGAGTGGACTCTCTGGTCACCTTGGTATACCTCGATGGCAAGTACAGCCTGAAGACCTGTGACAGCCGTTTCCTCAGCAATGATGGCAAACTGGTGAAGGAGAACACCAATACTACCAGCTTCACACTGGAGCTTAAATCTGGCAAGCTGGCCTTTAAGGACTGTGGTGGAAAATATCTGACCCCAGTGGGTCCCACAGGGACGCTGCGATCTGGCCGATGCTCCAAACCTGGAAAAGATGAGCTGTTTGATCTTGAGGAGAGTCATCCACAAGTAGTTTTTCAAGCAGCCAATAAAAGATTTGTCTCGGTCAAGCAAGGTAATTAGTCTGCATTGCAGTCTTGAGAAAAAAATTAAACATCTAAAATGGAATGGTTTCATACAGGAAATGGATTGGATTGCTGGACTTACAGTATATTATGTTCTCAATCCATCAATGAGGAACTTTAAAGTGGAAATGATTTTCACTGTTGAAAATCATCGAGACTAAGGGATGAGATTTGATTGTTTACATATACATTATAAAGAACCTTGAATCTATTCAAAAGGAAGCAAAGTACAAGTGTCTATATGGTAACAAATGGGAATAAAACCAAATGAGCGAACATGTGAGCTAAACATAGCTGGAACGCCTATTCGAGGCCCCATGCTGAGTTCAGACACGGGGAAAAGAAAAAATGATTGACTTATTGACACACAGCAATTTCCACCACTATGGTTTTGCAATCACTTTGCAGCTAAAGTCCCTTTGCACTTTAACAATGTTCGCATCTGAGACTAGGAGAGACCATTTTCAGATTCTTTAAAGAGCAGTGCACTATATATATTTTTTAAATTACCTTTTTCAAATGACTCTTTACTAACCACTTAGTAGGATAAATGTTTTTATCTTCACGGTCTGTGGTTAAATGCAATAGTCATCTTTCATGTACTGTTGATTTCAGATTTTGCTCTATATTCTTTTTCCTTTCAGTATTCAGTTTCCCTGCATTTTAATCTCTACAAGAGTATCTCAAAGCTACTAAAAAAACAGACCAAGGAGAACACAGATGTTACATTTTGCAGGTTTAGGTATTGATTTTAGCTAAGAGTTTAGCCCTCGCTATATAACAGCTAAACACATAGCAGAGTGGAGTGCACGGTGGGCCTGTTGACAAATAAGAATACAGTACATTCTCGAGTGGAGCAGTAGCACAGCTGGGTGTTGCGGGCATAAAGTGTATCCAAATATCAAACTGTATAGTAATTAGGGATTTTTGATAACATGAGCAGGCTGGATTTGCTTTGATTGAATGTTTACATTACAGTGACCAAAAATCAAATCAGCAACATTAACCACCTACTGGGGGAAAGTTCTACCTTTCTTGATTACTTGCTGGTTCAGAATTGTTGACAGCCATACTGTGGTGGTAATTGTGGTAATGGGCTTTGTCGTTTCCACTGTGTGTCTATTGAAGATTAAGCAGCGTGCAAATAACTTAAGGGCAGACCTGTGCCCCACGGGCGTCAATTACCATCAATGGACTTTAAGCTTTGGCTACTCACTCTTTACCGTCAACCATCGAGTGAAGTTCTCCAAATTGTGTGGCTCTACGGTCAGCCAGTGTGGCAGTGAGGTGGCAGCCGGACAGAGCTACAGCCAGGGCAGAGGAATTACAATGTCTCCTGTCAGCCTGTGCGATGTGATTTTCTCTGTCCTCTATATTCAAGCAAACAATGTGGGAGGAAAGACAAGCAAATTATGTTCTGTTGCAGCTGTTTAAAGCTTTAAAATTCAATTAAAAGAGCTAACAGCCTTATTTAATCTAGCTGCACAATGCACATGCAATACTACAGCATATTTTAGGGACGAGGTTCTCTAACTTTAGACTGCACTCATTATGCTTATGCATGAATAGAATTCTGCATTAAAATAAGGTCACCATCAAGGCAATAGTTCAACAACCTAGCACTCTATTCTCATAATATAGGGCAAATAATTACACTTTTAACTGTCGTGTCTGGCCTTGTGGCAGTTCCATGTTTTTTAAGGAACAAGGCACTGAAAGCTGCTTAGTGGGCCCTGCAGTGCAGATTTGCATTTCACCACTCAGGGAATTACAGCAAGCGAAGGAACAGGAAGGGTGGAGGGGTGACTGTGGGGGATTAGAGTTGTAACAAGCTTAAGAGAAAGGTTGAAGGACATTTCTGTGGCATCTAATTTGAACTTACAGCAGACAGTTCAGTTATAGGCTACACGTCTGAGTATTCTCCACCGCCTGACACACCCCACCAGTCAGAGTTAATACATGTGGATTAAGTGCATAACACTAGATTGGCTGGTTGTGATTGAAGTTTGGCACTTGACTGAATAGTGCACCAACTAACTAAGTAAAAAGATGGGCACACTTTTATGTAAATGTTGTGTTAGGACAAGCTTTACTTGGACACTTGCTTTTGTATGCAATGAGTTGATGACATGAAATTTGTTGATGAGCCAAAAGTTCATAAAGTGAGGCATGGGAACATCCAACGCTCACAGATGGCCAGCAAGCAGTTTAACGTGATCCTCTGCATAAACTCTATGAAACACTCCCACAAACTTGAAAGGTGAACATATTCCGATATGGACATTATTTCAGAGTGTGGGGGGAAAAAGGGGGCAAAACATACCAATGTCTCATCCTGTAGTATAATCCACTTCTACAATACAACCTGACAAAAACCTCTGGTTTTCTATGATGGAGCAAACTTTTTTTAAATCATCACCTTTAAAGTGTAGAAGGAGTCAATGTTTTATAGGCTACTTAAGAGATGGATTTTGGGAAGACAATTTTTCATAAAATATTTAATGTCGAAAGATTAAAAGGTTAGCACACATTGCAATCTCCAAATGTGTTTTAAACTCTACTACTTTTCACAGACTGCCATCTTGTTACCCTAAAGCATGATGTAATAAGTCTGATTAAATGCCATAAATACATGAAGGTGACTGAGAATTTGGTCAATGTGTCATTCAATATGATGTTATTTGCTATTGCACACACCCTTAAATTATGAGAGGCTAATCTGTGCAGGAGCAGCCTTGAAGCAACACCTTGCCTATGCATCATGCATTTGTGTACGGCACCTTCAGGGAGGTGAAATATGTCACTGGACACCAGAATCGCAAAAAAAAAAATAGATAACCCAAAATAAATCAATGTATAAAGAAGTAATATCAACCAAGAAATGCATGGATGACATTAAATATTGTATTAATATTGTATCATGCACACGTCTCTCTGGCAATGCCTGAGAGAGGAAATTACATTTGAAAGGATGTAACATTGTAATCGATTGAACAAAGACATAATTATTGCTGTTTTTTTCCCCCTTATCACCAGGAGTGAGTATTTCAGCCAATCAGGACGTGGAGACAGACATGGAGACCTTCCAGATGGAGATTGATAAGGAGAGCAAAAGGTCTATGTTCAGGACCAATGGTGGATCCTACTGGACTCTAGTGACTCACGGAGAGATCCAATCCACCGCCACAGAAGTGTAAGTAGCCCATAGCTTTCAAAGAGGAGCTTTCCTCTATGTTGTAATTTACCTCTCATTAACCTCTCCGTGCTTTTATTCCCAGCAAGGTCAACACAATGTTTGACATTGAGTGGCGAGGGAGGAGAGTGGCACTCAAAGCAAGTAATGGAAAGTACGTTTGTACAAAGAAGAACGGGCAGCTGTCAGCAGTCAGCGATACAGTGGGTAAGAGCCTTCAGGCAAGCCACCTGAGATTCAAAGTCGTGCCACAGGTAACGCTTTGTTGACCCACGCAAAAGAAAAAAAGAACAGCATTTGTCACCTCATTGCAGGTGATGACGAATTATTCCTGATGAAACTCATCAACCGCCCTATGCTGATCCTTCGTGGAGAGACTGGCTTTGTGTGTCACCACAAGAACTCCAACACTCTGAACGCAAATCGATCCGTCTATGACATTTTCTCATCGATCTTCAACGACGGCGCCTACAATATTAAAAGTCAGTGTTTTATGTGTGCACGTCACAACATACATTTCTACATAACACAATCAATATATATCTGTATCCTGTTTTTATAGATATTAAGCATCTACTAAATCAATTCAAACAAATAGCTAACATATAATTGGTATCATTCTGCAGGTGTGAATGGAAAGTTCTGGTACGTCTCAAGCAGTGGCCTGGTGTGCTCAGATGGAGAAAAGCCAGAGGACTTTTTCCTTGAGTTCCTGGAGCATGGACGCGTCGCCATCAAAGGCTCTGATGGCAAGTACCTTCGTGGAGACCAGGGAGGTACGCTTATGGGTGACGGTACAACTATTGATGTATCTTCTCTGTGGGAGTATTGATCAGGGTCCTCAAAGAAGAAGAAAGCAAGTGAGGTGCAGGACCCGCTTCTATCGGCTCTGATGAAGAGGACTGAACGGGTAACACTGTTTTTATACTAGCTGCCAGGTGCCCAATACCATGTTTTTTTGTTGTAATTCGGAAGAAGAGAACACATTAGGAAAGTATGTGTGGTGTTTACTGTAAATATGTTGTCTCTCAAATGACAATGCCATCATCAAACAACAGATACTGTGAAAATATGTAATTTCACAAATACAGAACATTATGGCTGTCCCAAATCCATCAGACACACTTTGTTCAATATAGGTACAGTGACAACCAAATATCTTTGAAGGCGGCCATACTGATCAGTCCACGCACAAAGAGAAATTTAACAACTGAGATGGGATCACACCAGCTGTAAATTGGTCCAGAGCCATAAATCGGGGAGGCACATCCATATTCGACTCTGCCTCCATTTTGATCTCAACTACACACATGTAAAGTTTCGTTACCGCATGTTGTACTGTTGCTGTGCTATCATGGTCACAAAATATGTACTCAATGACCACATTTTGCCAGACTTAAATTAAAAGGTGAAAATAATATCAGTGTCGCTAGTGTAGCTTGTAAAGAGTGACGCCGCCTAACTCGGTACATTAGACACATTTAGTTCTTCTGCTCCTGTTGAATTCCTCTGGCTAAATTGAATAAATATCTCCAAACACTGAAGAAAATGTTGACGATTTCGCTGTCTATCAAAACTGATGTATATATTCAATTAAATAGAAACAGATAAGGATTGATCAGTGTGGCTGCATTCTTATGTTTACTTATAGAAAACAAACAGCTACACTCATTTCTAGACAGAAAATAAACTTCATTTGGTTAAGGTGACTAGACCTTAATCGACTGTTTATCAGGATACTTCTATAACCTCTATCCTACTACCGATCCTACTGGGTTTGTTTACAGATTTCCAATGATTTCAATACTTTTTCAAGATTTCAAGACACGTTCCGTTAGTGGGATCATTGATGTCACTCGAAGCAAAGGTAATGCACCACTGTCTTTGAGGACAGCGGATGGCTGGTGCCAATGATGTTTTTCCATTTATCTTTTAGACCATTTACAGCTTCTATAAAAGCACCATATGAAGTAAATGAAGTGGACTGGAGCAAATAGACTGCACTGTCTCAGGCACCTTTGCAATGCGGAGCAATATCCAAAGAGGATATTAGAGGATACTTAACTCAGCATCACTGCAAAAACTGAAATATGTTGTTGTGTAATACATATATAATTACAGAGACAGGACATGTTCAGAGACACAGGATATCAGTAGAAATGTCATACATCCACATCAGGTCACATTTAATGGACTATACGTCATTTTAATGTACCAGGTATGAACTCAGAAAGTGCTTCTCTGGTGTTCTGCCTAGGGGCCTTAAACAATAATGCACTCTAGATCCCTTTATACGCTGTTCTGATGTTCAGAGTTGGGTGGTGAGATTAGAAAATATATAAAAAAATATTTCCATCCATTTGCCCAAAGTCAGATGAGAAGTTGTAGTGAATTTCGATTGTGCAGTGAGTGCTCTGTACACTTTGTGGTGTTCGTCAAACCCATATCCAATGTGGCAGCAAAATGCTACTTCAGACAGATTTGGAAAACATGTTATGTTTCACTGCTCACAAAGCTGGGATATCAGTCTTCCCTCTGCACCCATTCTTTGTACATGGCTAGGCCAAGAACATCCCACTGAAACTGATATGAATCTTCTCATCCAACTCTGGAGAAGACAGCAAACAACTGTATTTAACAAAATGCCGGAGTGTTCCTGTCAGTAATCTACCAAACACTGCTTTTGTAAAATGTGATCAGTAGCCTCTAGTTGACCCTTAGCCAGCAGAGCCCTTTTAAAAAGAAGACGTTTTTGTATTTTGATCTCACAGGACTCACTGAATTAATTACATTCTCCTGACACCCATCAATGGCACAAGCTGCCCAGACTTTATTGGCACAGATGTTGGTGTGCAGCAAATAGGACAACCTGAACCTTTATACAATTTATCCTGTAGATTTTTGTCAGTTATTAACCAGGATGAAATAAAATCTGCAATAGTTCACGTGTAATGTCTAAACCAGTGGTTTTTGTGATGTGTGCAATTTGCAATTAGAGAGCAGGGTGTAAAAGGCTTGGTCACCTGTGCATCCTGTATCAGCCCCCAGCCATATTTTAGAATATATTTAATATAGATGTTTTTTTTGTTTGTTTTATGATATGAATTTTGAAAATGTTGATAACAATAAAAACGTGACAATATCTTTGTTGACTTTGGGACTACAATTGTATGCCAAGCTAAGAAAATACGAGTGGACTTTGCGATTCAGCAGTTCAGATGGTAGAGGGGGTTGAGCAATGGTTGGAACCCCGGCTCCAGCTGTCTAAAACGTCCCCAGAATCAGCAGTTTAAACAAAAGTGTCTGACAATTTATTGTAAGGTAATGTCCAGAACATTTCAATTCTGTGACTAAGAATGTAAAGCATGATGGATTCGGTTTATTATCATCAATTACCTTTTTTATAGCAGACATTTTGACTTTTCATCGCATGGACGGCAAACGGTAAATGGACTGCAGTTATCACAGCACCTTTTTATCTGAACAGTCAAAGCACTTAGCATTATGCAAATCATTCACTCATTCATTCATTTCACACAGACACACGCCAGCGGTGACAGAGCTGCCATGCAAGGCTGGCCTGCCCATTGACAGCAACGTCGGGTTCAGTGTCTTGCTCAAGGACACTTTGTCGCGAGGACAAAAAAAAAAATGCCGTTGAGCAAATTACTCATGTCGTACTGTACATGACGCATGCAATTTGTCACTCAAGCTGAATAAATTAATCAAAATCAAAAGTATTATTATCACTTTTGTTTTTCTTGCGGCGTTGGAAAAAGGCCTTTTACAGTTCATAATTTGACAGTAAATGTCATCAAAATATAACGGCCACCGGCCTCATCCGGCACGGATGAGGCTGCATACAGCCGGGAGGTTGAACAGCTGGCCCTCTGGTGTGGTCAGAACAACGCTCTTAAAACTGTGGAGATGACAGTTGACTTCAGTCGTCACCATTCTGAACAACACTGTCTGTTGTGGAAACCTTCAGGTTTCTAGGATCCATCTTCTGCCAGTACCTTGAGTAGAATTACAAAATGGACATCTTTAGGAAAAAGGCCCAGCAGAGACTGAACTTTCTGCCCCAGCTCAGGAAGTTCAACCTGCCTCCAAACAGGACAGGAACAGACTACAACAGACAGACAAAAAAAAAAAATCATTGGTGCCAGCCTGTCCTCCATCCAGGACTTACTGTCAGGAGTCAAGAAACGGGCAGGAAGCATCACTGTAGACTCCTCGTAACCTGGACATAACCTGTTTTAGCTTCCCCCCTCTGGGAGGCGCTACAGAGCACTGTACACCAAAACAATCAGACGACTAGAACATTATCAAAAGAACCACTGTTGCCATTACAGATTATAATTTTGCAGTTTTTAATGCAACTTTTTGTACATGTAAAAATCATCTTTCACTGTCATTATGAATCATACAAGTTGTATATACAGTATAGTGACAATTTAACATGTATATACTGTAGATAGTCATCCAGTCTATGTCAATCCAGTATTTATTTCTTTACACTACTTGTATAATTTGCAACTTCCAGAACACTCGACTTGAATATGAACGTTTATTTTATTTCACGGTTAGTTATCGAGTGCGATGCAAAATAGTCTCATTCAAATTCCCTGTAAACGTGTGTACATGCACTTATGCAATAAAGCCAATTCTGCTTCAAGATTTTCCCAACAGGGCAAATTCTGGCTCAGTAGGAAAGGCAAGGTAATTAATAACTGATGACTAAATCCTGACTATTATTCAATCTAGATGTGCCGGCTCCAGGCTCCTGATATAGTGCATGCCGGCTCTTTGGGGGACATTTAAATGGAACCGAGATACCATTCATTGCTTTTATTGCGACAATATGATGAGTCATAATACCCAGTAACTGGTTCTGTATATGGCCTTTACTTCGTCAAGAAAATAATTGAAAAATGATGGTAACAATTAAACCAAAATGCTGAAATATAGTCTTGGCAGCTATTTTCCCAACCACAACACAATCCAAGCTTGTCAGCATTCGTCCAAAAAATTAAAGTCAGAAAGGACTCTTAGATCAGTGTGGTATTGCTAATAGGATTTACCCATTCACTACACTGGATGGCAGTGTGTACCTCTCTTAGCTCGTGCTCTGCTACAGTAATAGTCAGTGACAAGTGCTGTGAACGTAACATTTCCTGCTGCAATCACAAGAAGCACAACACCTGTTAGCAATCCCCCACACTGAAACCGAACTGACATCTGTTGGCACACTTTCGGCAACTCTGCGTTTTTAACTGGAACTGGCATCAGCTTTCACTTGCAGTACACAACACTTATATGACTTAAAGAGAACAAGACATGATTTTTGCATAATGCACAGGAACTCTTTCAGGTTCCTAATCATCACCGTCTCCATAACAAATATAGCATTTCTTTCTAGGAATTTCAGTTGACTCTCTTAAAAAAATAAAAAAATAAATAAATAAATAAAAAATCACACACAAATTTAACACGACCTTTCTCTCGCCCAACACATTTCACATGACACTTTGCCTCCCCTTGTTTCATTCTATAATTGCACTGGCAAATGTTTTCTTTGACCATCACAGCCCATAATTGCTCTGCTCACTAGCCCCCGATTGTTACACACAACTCACTGAACTGGAGATGTTTTAACGGATCAACTTGGGTTTATATGTGGCATAGATTTAGCTTTGGCAGAGCATTTTAAATGTGCAACATCTGTAAGAAGAAAAAGAGTACCAAAGATTTTATGCAAAAAAAAAAAAAAACTAAATAAATAAATAAACACTAAATACGTTTTAAATAAATTTCAATAAATCCTTCTAACCAGAGTTCCCCTTTCTGTTTGTGTGTGAGCCAGAAAACTGTAGATCTCTGGTGAGAATGGATGGCCAGAGGTCAATATGTATAACTGGCAGATTCTCTCCTCTGTGTGTTGTACTGCAACACTGGCTAAGTTGCCCTGTAGCTAGTTTTGTTGGTAGGTAGGCTCGGGTCAAACATTAGACAGAAATCAAATTATGATTTCTTTGGGATATAAAGACAAGTGCTTGTTTTAAACAGATGTGCATGAACCCTAATCTTTGATGCAAATCACGTTTCAGATGAAGTCCAACAAACTCCTCGGGTCAGCCGACACAATCAACAAACAAATACACAGAATGACTGTGTATACACACACATCCGTGTAGATGCATTGTGGTGCTATGGGCAGTTTTTTTGCTTTACGACATCGTCTCAAAAGGGAGAGGGGAAGAGCCAAAGAGTAGTAACCAAAATTAAGTCACAAGGGGCAAATCAAAAAGAAAAAAGGATCAAAATCTATGCAACCATCTTTTTTATTCCATGTATTCTTCTTCTTGTTTAAATCTTGGGCCTACATTACCCACTGCCAACATGCTAACACGTACGCCTGGGACGATAGCCTCAAGCAGAGCAGAGGTCTGGTAAACTCACTTCTTTCTAACTCCACATCCCCAAACTCATATACACACACATTATTTATCAAATTTACTGTTTTGCATAATAAGTACTTTCACTTTAAATAATACAAATATATTTGGTACCAATACTTTTTACTTAAGTTAGAGTATTTTACTGAAATAAAAGATCTTAAAACTTTTTCCACCACATTACCTTGCCAATTTTTAAATCTGGGAAAAAAAGTGTTCCCTAGCAACTATTAAGAGTCCATTTAGATGTACAGAATTATCACATGGCAATTTATGCTTATGTTCATAACCACATCTTGGCCAGATGGATGTAATGGAAACCTTTATATTCCAAATGAGATGTTAGCACAGCGCTCACTCACTTTAACTCGCTAAAGGACGAGACAGGCCGAGGAGAAAGTTTGTTCTTAAAGCAATAGTTTGACTTTGTTAAGTACTGTCTTTGCCCTGTACTGTATTTTGTCTATAAGAATACATAATTGCTGTGCTGTACAATAAAACAATGAATTCCATTTGGTCGTTGATGAAAAGGTTAGGATGCTTGAAATAAGAAATTCTGACTTTGACAAAGCAGTTTTGTACTCGTCAGTGGTGATCAAACAGCCTTATAATTATGGCAATTCTAATTTCAAGCATTAACTTGCTCAGAACCAGTGATAAAATCTCAGTAACAAGTTATAATACCTTATTAAGATAATTAAGGACTGAAACGTTTGAAACAAGTGAAATGCTCGAACATAAAAACTGTCTGGTGAGAAGAAATATCTTGTCAGACAAAAAACAAGCATAATATATTGCCTTGATTTAAGATATTTCATCTTACTTAGAGTTTAATTTTTGCAGTGTACTGCTTATCAGTACTCATATGTGCGCCTATCGATACTCCACATGTCATTTGTTGACATTACATCATCAGAGCACAGCGCTAAAAGTGTTACATTTCTGTAACATTGAGCCAATAAATGACTGGACGTTTGTTTCTGTACTTCAGAGTCAATACAACTCAGAGGTGAGAGCGTTTTATAGGATTACACGATTAAAGCTTTTTGCTTGGTTTCATTAAATACATCCACTATATTTTTCGATTAATCCTGTCCTCCTTATCCAACCTCGACACCGAACGTCAACCGACTCCTCCAACATCCATCTCCATCATGGATCGACCCTTCGAGGCCGAAGACCTGGAAGGAGGATGATTCTCCGAGGACATGCATGGACGCAGGATTTGTGGCAGCAGATGCTCGACAATGTGACTAATGAGGTTTCATTGTCATCAATCTCAAATATAATCTGAGAGGCTGACAGTGATAAGAAAAAAGAACACCAACAATGACAATTGCTTCAGCTACAACATTCATGAATTCATCTATCTGGTCACATGAATCCCATGTTCATATTTTGTAGTATTGATTTGTG